GGGGAGGAATCAGCAGTTGTGGAATTTTCCTGCCCTCTGAGGATTCTGTAAACTCTTTGGTTCGTGAGCATGAAACACTCATCCATTTTGGTGTAATGGTTAAGTGTGCGGACTCTAATCTGGGAGAACCCGGTTTGATTCCCCACTCCTCCTCTTGCACCTGCTGGATGACCTTCGGCAAGCCATAGTTCTGGCACAGCTGTTCTTGAAAAAGAGCAGTTTCTGTCAGAGCTCTCCCAGCCCCACCTACCTCACAGGGTGTCTGTTCTGGAGAGGGGAAGGGAAAGGAGTTTGTAAGCCGCTCTGAGACTCCTTTGGGTAGTGAAGGGCGGGGTATAAATCCAATCTCCTCCTCTTCTTCTCCCCCCCCCAACGCTCTCAAAATTCCAAAGATAAGCAGCACACTCTGTACGCATCAGGTACGGGTGTGTGTGTTAATTTACAAACTAATACTCTTCTGCATACCTAGCGAGTCAACCCTTTTGTGCTTAAACCTCTTTTAACAGGTGGCTCTGTTTCAGTCTTCACCACAGATACTCAACCATGAAGTTTGCTATTAAAGGGAAGAAGCTGAAGAAGGATGAGAAACCATTCTGAAATCTGCCCACCAAACCCTCTTTAATGGCTCGAGCAAGCCAATTTCCCCACCCTTTTTCCGGGCTGCTGGAATTATTTTTTCCCTTTACTTAGTAACAGGATTTTACATTGCAGGCCATCTGGAGCATGCAGCCAGAGCTTCATATATTTTTTTAAACTCAGTGTCACATTTTGCACGTACGTGGGAATACAATCCCCTGGTACCTTTTTCTGTGCAAAGCCTGGCTTTGCTGTTTTCATGAGGCTACCTGTGTTACTGTATTTTTATTCAGCTTTCCGGACAAATATTAATTTGTACACCATCTGTTCTGTTCACCAAAGCTGCTGACATGGTTTTCCTCGACTCCATGTTACCCTCCCAAAAGCAGCACAAGACACGCTAGGCTGGGAGCTGTGTGACTGGCCCAACGTCACCCAGCAAGCCTCCCTGACAGAGTGAGGATCTGAACCCGGGTCTTCCAGAACCTAATCCAGTCCTTTTCTCCCTTTCTCACCATACAAGAACTCGTGGGCACTCCATGAAATTGCTGAGCAGTCGGGTTAGAACAGATAAATGGAAGTCCTTCTTCCCCCAAAGAGTGATTAACACATGGAATTCACTGCCACAGGAGGTGGTGGTGGCTACAAGCATGGACGGCTTCAAGAGGGAATTGGATCAACATGTGGAGCAGAGGTCCATCAGTGGCTATTAGCCACAAGGTATAGGTAGGAACTCTCCGTCTGGGGTAAGGGATGCTCTGTATTCTTGGTGCGGGGGGGGGTCAACAGTGGGAGGGTTTCTAGTGTCCTGGCCCCGCTTCTGGACCTCCTGATGGCACCTGGTATTTTTGGCCACCGTGTGAC